AGTAGTGCAGATGCTGATAGACACATTACAGACTGGAATGGTGTAGTAGTGCAGATGCTGATAGACACATTACAGACTGGAATGGTGTAGTAGTGCAGATGCTGATAGACACATTACAGACTGGAATGGTGTAGTAGTGCAGATGCTGATAGACACATTACAGACCAAAAGTGCTCAGACTTTCAGGTGTTAGTCAGTAGGCCATTAGACTGCAGGACTCCGCCTGGGTTTGCTGTGAAAACCCCTAGTTTGGAGTCCTACAGCCACATGGCACTGCAGGAGCACGAAGTACTGCGGATCTGCAACGGTGTAAAGAGCGATTGGGCAGCATGCAGTGAAACGGCGAGCACTCACATGCAGTATCTCGTGCGGACACTGTTTGGCTCCATAATATTCATCAAGATCTGTGAAATGGCAGTTCTTCTTGGGGGGCAGATATGCCAGGGATGGGCCGTAGACACAGATGGCGCTCAATGCCCCGATTACACCAGCCACGTTAGTATATGCACAGCTCTTCAACTGAGAGGAACAATTACATTGGGGGGGGGGCGGGGTGGTTAGTGATGCAAACTGCTTCCTTTAAAAAGGCCTTTCAACAATGAGCCTATATTTTACAATGCGCTTAAATTCAAGAGTTAGGAAATTATTGTAAGTATTGTCATTATGTTTATTTTTACTGTATAAAACTGACAGCTGAATAATTCAACACAGAATGTACTTACTAGTGATTTATTGGGGGATTTTTCACAGGCAACCGTACAAGATCCAGCTGTCACAAACTGAAAAGAAATACATGGTCTTTCTCTTAGGGAACTATATACATGCATCTACAAATCAAGTTAAGCATCTGGTTAAGCCTCAGCAGGAGTGTGAAACCTTGAAACGTATACCCTGACTACGAATATGAAGCAATACTGTCAGTCACTGATAGTATCGATTACTCATCAGACATTATTTAATAAATAATGATAACATAAATAAAATATTTTTTTGGTTACAGTACCATACAGCCAACACACAGGGGAAGGAGATAGAACATGGGCAGGCTGACGTCTAAGTAATAGAGCGGCACAGCCAGAAGTACATGGAACAGCCCCAGCAACACCGCCCCCACCTGGAGAAATGGTGAAAACGCCTCGTCAAGGGCGCGAAGACGATGAAGAAAATAACGCACAATATTCAGCAGTAGTTTTTTCACTATACCTTTTGTTCACCGTTATCAGCACCCATTCTAAATGTATATTCGTAAATTAAAGCTTTTCGTTAATCTTTATTACTATTATAATTATATGTGAATGTCTTGTCATTCCCCTGTCAAATGAAGCTTGATTACTTATAAAACAGGCTCAAATATGGTAGTGGTAACAAAAACTTAATTCTCCTACAAAAACTTTCTTCATTATTTTATATAGCCTAAGGGTTTTTTTCCAGTGTGCGAAATACCCGGGGGGGGGAGTTCCATCTCCCTATTGTTCCGCAATACTGATCTTTTGCTTTTTTATTTGATTTATTTATCCTTTATTTTACCAGGATGGTTCCTTTGAGATACAATATCTCTTCTTCCAGTAAGTCCTGGTCAAGATGGCAGACAAAAGTTTCATATACATACCTACAGAGATGATTAATATGAACACAGACTAAAACACATACAAATACTCAAACTAATACATACTGTAGAATAAAATTAATTTATACGAAACAATGACACTGTTCTTTAAGTTAAGAGTTTAAGAGATTTTTAAACACATTCAGAGAAGGCAAGGAGTTTAAATTCAAAATATTTTGTAATGTGTTCCACTCATGTGGTACATAACAACAAAAGGCGGGTTTCCTGAGTTCTGTGCGAGTGGTGGGAAGCTGAAGGTGAAGTTTAACTGATGAACGGGTACTGTATGTATTTTTGAGGCTTTCAGGGGGTCTCATGGGTTAATCGGGGGTGTCGGACCCCCCCGTATTTCGCACACTTTTTTTTCCACCCAAAAGAAGTATTTTATATTGGATAAACATGAAAATGGATTGGTTATGTATGAAAACATGACGTAACACGGGAGCACGCGGGTACAGTTCAGATGGCCGTGGCCATGACCGCTTACCGCTATGGCCTCCGTGTCCCAGAACAGAAACGGCTGGTACAGCTTCGGAGACGCCGTCCCTATGTTCTCTAAGTGGGGAGACACCATCCTGCAAGAAAAAGGCTTTCTTGACCTAATAGACGGTTCTGTCTTGGATGATGTTCACCCAAATAAACCAAACACCCTGTAAGATTAATAAACGTTCTACCAATGACAGTGAGAGCAATAAAATGGCGTTTACTTTGTTGGATAACTGAAATAAAATCGATTATTTGTTATAAGTAACCACTATTATTTTGTAAGCAAGGAGGCTCCCCTCACCATTTTCTAATCTGATTAAAAGATTATTTGGAGAATAAAATGTACAATTCATGGTCTGTTTTGTATAATATTTCCCACGACCACAATGTTGCTTTTTTGTATTTTTCGCCATGTAACAGCATTTAGCAGAAGTGTGAAATATATAGTCTGATGTTATATTTTTATGCACCTCATATGAACTCCTAACATAAGTATATAATACAAACCGCATAATCTGAAATGAATAACAACATGACCAGCAATCTGGACTAAGCGGGATATTAACTTGCCTCAAGATGAGCTCGGGCGCTCAGCCGGGGGGAGGAGAGCTTTATCCGGAGCGGGATTGGAGGTTTGCGGGACTTAGGGGAACGATCTAGTGGGCAATTTGCGGCCAAAGAGGGTTGTGGGGAGGCTTTACTGCTGTCAGTACAACCAAGATTGGGGGGAAATCGTGGAAAAGTGATTACTATCCAAACACAGCGCTAGTAAGTGTGTCCCACCTCTGGACCTAACTGAAGGCATGTTACACAAAAATAATTTTCGTTCACATTACATAACTCTGATAAATGGCAATTCTGTCTCCTGTTCAAAGTTTACCGTAGAGCATAAAAAACTCTTTAACTTTCGTACCATTGTGAATTCGTAGCAGTATTGGCGAAATAGTTTTACCTTCTCTAAAACTGACACGATAGCTAAATGATGTTTGTCGGAAATTAACAAATGAATTATGTTGCATCGCATTCTAACACAGTCCGGTTTTAACATATTTGATCATTTAATGCAAATGCATTCGAGGTGCATATTAAACACAACGGCTGACCAACCTGTATGAGCAGAAAGAGTCGGTCCCTTCGGCTGCGGCGGATCATGAAAAAGGCAGACAGAGGCGAGCTGCTCGGTACAGTACGTGCCCCTTTTGTTGTGTTACCCCAGAGAAAGGGGAGGGGATGGATGGGGATGGGGATGGGCCGCAAAACACTGGCCAGAGCAGAGTTGCGAAACTGATCACATTTCATGCGAGCCGACATCAACCCACTGGGTCTTTTTTTGCGGGATCCGTAAGAAGAAGCTGAGGTTTTTTTGCGTTGTTGGGCCAGAAAGCTCAGGTACGCCTTTTTCTTTATTTCGCGTCTCTCGGCTTTATGTACGTCATTTAGACCTAATTTAATTGTTGTTTGACTTTTTTCTTAACATCATCTCGCTACCATAGTTTCTTTTAGATCTCGCCAGTCGCAACTTCTTTATGAAACGACTGTGATAAATAGATTATTTGTTAGTAAGTCTTGTAAGAAACATTTGTTTTTTTTTAATGATTTATGGCTGCGTAAACATCCACACTAAACCGCACTCGTACCGTAAACAGTTACATGTTTACATTATGTAAGGAAATATTAATGCATAAATGAACCTCTAAATATAACTTTAAAAATCAGTAATAAGCTCAACCCCTTAACAGTTAGTGAGTGTCCCTGCTTCCTCCTCTCTCCGACGTAAGAAGCAATGGATGTTACGGTGTCCAGGAACCTGTCGGTGACGGTGACGGACCACAGCGCGGACAAGCTGCGGGAGAGGCAGCAGAAGCTCAGGGACCGGCTCCAGAAAGTGGAATCCAAAGTCCTTGGGGTAAGCCATCACTCCAGTCACCGTCTCTGGCCGATTTGTTACTTATTTGTATCCTGCTAGTCAGGGTTGTGGTTAGAGATGAACGGATTGGGTGCTGAATCTTTACTGGAGGGCGATGGCAAACATATATAATATAAAAAGCTATTCATATCTTAAGCCAATAAATACACATTTATTTGGGGAGGCTAAAAAACATTTGTATAAAGCCCCTCTAAAATAGGCCTAAGGGCACCCTTGTTTGACTGAACGAGTAAGCATTCAGATGCACTTGTTTCAGAAGGCTAGTAAAACCTCTTGGATCTGAAGTGATTACAGAAAATGCTGTTACTTTTCTATATAACGGAAAACCAAAGGTGCAGACTGATAATGTGAGTTGGGTAATGAGTGATGTGATTGCATAGGCCTGCCTCTTGCTGCTCTGCTGTAGGCCTCCCAGGTGATGCTGGGCTTTGGGTAATGAGTGATGTGATTGCATAGGCCTGCCTCATGCTGCTCTGCTGTAGGTCTCCCAGGTGATGCTGGGCGTCATGGTCATCAGCTACTCCCTCCCTCTGCACCTCACTGAATACACAGAGGTCATGACCTTCGGTGTGCCTTGGTGGAGCGCCATTGTGGTAACAACTGACACGTCACTTCTGGCTAACACCATCTTCTGGTCGTTGGTTGATTTCAGATAGGTGCGAATGTCTAATGCATCAAGATTTCAAGCAATTGGAGGTTTTTACTACTAATACCACTATGATATCTATCTCAAGGTCTTTCTGGCTACTTTACAAAGCAAATTATTCAGCCAATAATAATCCAGTGTGACCCCACCAGGAAAACAGAAGGATGGGTTCATTATCCAGCAACACTCTTGCATGTTAGTGTCCATGCACTTCTCAGACATTACTGAACAAAAACACACCCATACTGCACAACAGATCCATCGTCTCAGGGTTCTAATATAATGTAGCCGCAATGATTAATTAACTCATACTAATACAATTACAACATAAGTAAGTTGTCATGTGATGTTTGCCTAAACTAAACTTTAAACTGTTAACAAACATTTGTGAGTCATTCAATATCAATACATATGGAGACATTTATTTTGCTTATTCCTGTGCTGCAGTTCATTGTGGCTGGAGCAGTTGCCATAGAAACCGGAAAGCTGGCCAGTATGAACTCGGTGAGTTCAGTGATGTTTTTGCTGAGGAAGCCATGTGTTCTGCCTCCACAAAGCACTGTTCTGATGTCTCTGGCTTCCCTTTTCATTTCCCTAGCTCCGAGTCTGCTTGCTAGTGACCCTGGTGGCCGTACTGACATCCACCCTTGCCCTCATTTTCTACTCCATCGACCTCCATAACAACCAAGACACAGACTGTGCCATCAACAGCTCAGCAGCCCCGTGTGGGCCGCAGCATTATGCCAAAGTGGGTTCATTTCCTGTGTCTGTGCCGTCTCTGCATCATGTCTGCAACGCGTCTGCACTGTGTCTGCGCCATGTCTGTACTGCATCTGCACTATATGTCTGCACTTCATCTGCTCTGTGTTGTGCCATTTCCACCTCCTCCTGCTCTTCTCTCTCTTTGCATAATATGTCTGCACTACATTGTGCTGTATCTGTGCTGGCTGCACTGTCTGCACTGTGTCTGCACATGTCCTTGTCCTGCTTTGCTGTTTCTTTGGATAATGCATCTGCGCTGCACTGTGTTGTATCTGTGCTGTCTGCGCTGTCTGCATGGTGTCTGGGCATGTCCTCCTCCACCTCCTACTCTTCCCTTTCTTTGGATAATATGTCTGTGCTGCTCTGTGCTGTGTCTGTGCTGTCTGCACTGTCTGCATTGTGTCTGTGTATGTCATTCTCCTGCTTTGTTGTTTCTTTGGATAATGCATCTGTGCTGCACTGTGTTGTGTCTGTCCTTCTCCTCCTGCTCCTCCTCTTGCTCTTCTCTCTCTCTGGAAAATGTCAGCTCCTCTTCCCGGCAGGACCACACACTGTGTTGCTTTCAGCTTGATGAACCTCTGTGTATCTTTTCTCCCCAGGCCTTCAGCAGAGGCGTGAAGTCCTGCCTTCTTGTTTTCACCATCATTCAGGCTGTTATTTCATCCACTCTTTCATTCTTTCTGTACAAGGAGAGACACACTTCCACTGAGTATGCGGTGAGAGAATGTGACAGACAGGAATGTGGTCTGCTGCTTATTTCCCTGGATAACCCAATAATTTATGAAACCCTTAGACTAAAACAGCTTGTATTTTTTTTAAAAGCCGAGCCTGTTTGCTCAACATTTTCCACAACCATTTAGTAGGCAAATGCCCACTATTTACTATAAATTTGAGAATGCAGATAATCTGACATGCTCCTTTCCCTAAAATAGCCTGTGGTTACCCATGTCTTCCTCTCTTGCAGTCTCTCATGGAGAATACTCCGTCCACCCTTATCCACAGCGCACCTTCCGACTTCAACTGAGGAAAGCCGTATGCGTGGACTGTATCCATCAAAATATCCAAACATCTTCAAATTCAGTATAGTTAATGTAATAAAACTTTACAATGTTTTCATTTATACTTATTTTTTGTAAAAACATACGTATTTTTAACGTAATACAAGTCGTAAAGATTACACCATATCTGTTCCGTCTCTTTCCATGACACTCTTGTTTGATTTTGTCAAAGCACAGATAAGTAGTGTTCAGTTCTTTTGTCTATCCCCCCATTTTGCCCCGTCTGTGTGACAGCCGCTCCTCTGCAGAGTTACTGTAATGGTACATTCCGGCCTCTGCAGCTGCCTTTGAACCCTCGCCCCTCCCCCGATTCCTCCACTGAGTTTTGCCTGTTTCCTGTTTCCTTACAATCATCTCATTCACAGGCAGAGATGATGAATTTTTCGCATGGATTCCAGAATTCCGCAGCTGACTCTCTTTCAGCTTCACCTCATCCTTTATCATTTCCTGCCCCACAACACATTCATAGTCCAACTCCTTTGTCCCTCAGTCTTTTAAAACTGCTTGTATGGGTGTGTGTGTGTGGGGGGTTGCACCCTTTGCCAGGCAGCATAATTCTGGCATAAAAATTCATTTAGCAGTTTTATGGCCTGTATACAGAACAGAACATGTTATCTCTCTGTTGCAGTCTAAACCAACATTATGGTCACAGTTCTGGAGTTTTGCTGGCTGAAGAAAGTGGGAAGGAATCAGAGAGGTATACATGCCATATAGCTATGCTGTGTGTTCAACAAAATAGAATTAAATAGAATATACAATATATACACTATATATATGATGTTCAGTGGTAATGGAATTACTATCACATACCGTTAGAAACACAGAAAAAAACACATGTGACATGCATAGAGTTTGTCAGAAAGTGCTGACTAAGCTTAGGTGGGAGCAGACCAGCCTCCAATACAGGTGCACTAGCGTCCGCCTGCATTTATAGTTGTGCGTTATACCGAAAGCGGATTACAGGAAGAGCATTTAAGAAAAGCCATCTGAAAAACAAATACCTCTAAAAAGGTATTTACAAAAATGTTGGTTAAATAATTAAGAAGTATAATGACAGTTGAGAATAATGATAACTATGTGTACCTATGTAATTTTTATTTACCAATCCCGATGGGTTTTGCTGAGAGAGAGCTATTCTAGACAGCTAAGTTGTTTTTGATTGGCTGTGAGCTCGACATATCAGAAGTACTGTTTCAGTCCCAATGACATCATTAGTGCCTCTCACATTAAAAGGGCACTCGATGAATAAGGAAATGCTTATTCTTTTCTTGTGTTTGACTCCCTGCTCTGCTCTGGCTAATGTTCACCCAGTTAAACCAATTAAAGAAATAACAAAATAAAGAGCAGGAATAACTGCATACTTATGTATGAGGTTAATAAATAACCTTACATGGAAGTTTGGGGGTAGATGTGGCTTCTTCTTCCACTATGATTCTCAGGTCAACAATGATCCTGTGGCAATGTGATGCTGTCTTTCAACATGGCCCAAGCAAGCTTTTGTGTACGTTACACACATGTAGAACAGGTTTCTACAGTGTAAGTGCCTGAAAAACGCAATGAGACGCCCACAGGAGGTGAATCATGCTGAATCTATGGAGTCAATGACAATAACATGGGCTCGGAACTGTGTTAGTACCATGGAGAGCTGAACTGAGGGAAGGGAATTACGGCCCACAGATCTTCCACATTTCATTATCCCCAAGTTGCACAATTGCTGCACAGATGTTGCGTAACAACAAGTCCCTGAATTTTATGCGTACAAACAAACCAGGTCCAGAGTTCAAGCGTTCAAATGCAGAAAGCTGCACTCTCTCATTCAGATACTGGTGGTTTGTAGGTGGACTTTATTTTAGTAGATTTTTATAAATGTTGGCTGAGGAAAGAATGCTAAAGGAAAAAGCCATTTATTAAGGGGATCACTGAGACAATCCTGGGCAACAACAGCACAGTTTTAGCTGGACTCAGGGAGAGAGTCCAGAGCTCAGAGCAGATGACCAACCCACACATTCATGTATCCGTGGTAACGCTGAAACCAGACAGGTGCCCCAAGCGGACGTGGCCTGGAAGGGGGCCTATTACAGAATTATGTTGGTCAGCATGATGCATGAGTTCATTAAAATTATATCTTTTTTATTCAAAGATCTACCAGTATTCTAAGTCAGCTAGCTTTAGTATAAACACGCACAAATCATAGCAAATGGTTTTCAGATGGCGCAGCAGGATAACGCGTTTTTGATGACAAAAACTAAATAACGTGGAAAATGTAATACCACGCATTGCCAGGAGAGGGCAGCAGAGCGGCTGTATCGTGAAAACAGTTCTGGAGTCTTTTTTACTCTTTCCACTGTCTATGGGTGGAAATTGTGCAAGCAATTTTTTCTTCTGCACACTTTCTCGTACTATATGTGTTATTTTTTAAATAGCATTTTTCATTTATATTCATGGAACAATTCTGTGCTTGTGACCGGCATAGGCTTAGGTCAGGTGACCACGGTCTATTAAGAATATGCTCTGTTCCTGTCAGGTGCTGGGAAGCAGGAGGAAGATGATTGTAAGTCTCGTCTGTCATTATGTTACAGATAGAATATATTCAGTTAGCAATTCAGACTAATGAAGTTTTTGGAAAACTCATGTTATATACCTTGTTCAAGGGGTAATATTTGTTTCCTGGAAATCAAATCTGAACATTTAAATCTTTCGTTATCACAAGCTCTGGTGAATACGCTGAGCTGTAGCCTTTGCCATTGCAATTATGGCAAGAAATCAATTCCTTCTGGAGCTACGGACACAGGTCCTCAGCACATCAATGCTCGTTCATGGTGAGCTGTGCCTATTGTGATGACGTGGCTTCAGAACCCAGGTGGACATCTCATGGCCCCATCTACCTGCAGGTTATTTCTGAGCTGAGTCATGTGGCTCCCTGTCCTTTGTGTGCTGTTTGTACGTCTCCGTGCAGGTTGCCATGGAAGCATTGCTTCACACTGTAGAGGTTGGCGCATTCAGGTTCTCAGATGTTAGCTTTCAGAATATAGAATTTAAATATATTGTTTTTGTTGAATATATGTGTCATTCATGTTCTTCATCTCTACCTTAGTGCCATTGTCGTTCAAAGTAAGTTTGCTGTTCACCAGCTTGTTGGTTTCTTAAGGTCACAGCTGAGGATATGGATGAGCGGGATGTTCAAGAAAGGACAGAAGAAGAGGTGTGCCAGGGAAAGAGTGACTGCAGACTATTCCAATTTCCTCAGTAAAACCAAAACAAAACAAAAATACTAGAGACATTTTTTGATTTTGAACAGAAAAGAGGACCATGTAGGTTCAGCTTTCACTGAACTTCTGGTTTTAGAACTTCAGTTAGGTCCAGTAGCTAATGCTAGCTGTCCTGTTCCTGCCTAGAATAAGAGTCAAGGCGTAACACCTGAGGAGCAAACATAACTATCTCAGTTAGTTTATGTAGCTATTCCTCAAATGCAGGCAGGTCAAAACAATGAACCTCAGATTCTGCTGCATTAACTGGCAGCTGGTGTTAAAGGACAACTGAGCTCTCTAATGTGGATCACATGCTGGTTTCCTGGGAATAAGGAAAAAGTCTTGGATCCTGCAGGGGGAGCTGGTCATGCAGAAATACCATAACAATTTTTAAACCGGAGGAATGTACACTATGTTCTCCTATAATGTGTTTTGAAAAAGTGAATTCGCGTTTATGCATGATTTCGTCTCAGCACGTGATGCCAGAAAATACCCAGGTAAACCGATCAATGTCTGCTTTTAAGAAATAGATAAATGCATACATTTCTTAATGATCACTTTATATTAACTTTGACTATTTCATATTTTTCTATAAAATGTATCCACACTTTAAATTCAAACTATAATGTTAGCGTGGGAAAAATCGTTATAAATCCCAGTGCCGGTAAGACAGACGTGAGCTGAAACATTCTCTAGCACAAAAGCTCCTACTTAGATTCAGACCCATGGGTCCACTGTCAAAGCTGTGGATCCAAAACAATCTCCAACCATGAAATGACAAGCAATCCAGTAAAAGTGTATGTCATAATAGATATTTCTTAAGATGGGGCTTTATCCCAAGAAACCCACTGCAAATTGGAAATATGTGAATATGAACAGGATATGAATCATTTGAGTATTTAGTAGACGTAATGAGCTTGGAAAAAATGGTTTAACAGACACTGTTCAATACATTGTACGTTTACGTATGTTTACGCTGGCAATCGCCACAGAGACTGGAAGCGTGGCAGTGTGGATGCAGCTATTGCCCAGTGCCAGTAGAAAGTGTCGCACAGCATATCGCTAGCCCAGAAACAGATCACAATTCAACGATGACTACTCAAGGTGCTTCGCTATCGCACCATCTAAAGCAAGGAGCATCTGTATTCAAAATGAGACTTTCAAATAAGTAGATGCAGTGAACCACAGAGACCGCCTAAATTCATTTCTGTAAAAGCCCGCCAGAGTCAACATTTTTTTTTTATTATTTATTTTGTTCTTTTCTTGGAAAAAAACAAACAAAATTGAAAAATTTTTCAGAAAATAATTATTGTACTGCTACAAGTATTTTTGTCATCATATGGGCCAACAGAAGAAATGTACACAAAAGTATATATATTTCCCGTTAAGATTAAGGACAGAGCAAGAAGACAAAGAAAAAAAAAAATGTAACAAGTAGGTAACTTCTAGGGCCTGCATGAGAGACTGGGCCATGACGGAGGGAGAAGAGTTTATAATAAAGGGAACCAAAGGAGCTCTAAAAAGAAGCAGTGTCAGTTTGTGTACAAAAACCAAGAAGCTGAGGCATACAGCTCAGCTGGGCCAGCGGAGCACTGCAGACTCTGCTCAGACTCCTGGCCGGGGCTTGGGCGGCACACTGCCCCCCCCACCCCTTCTCACGGCTTGGCCCGCGTTTCAGCTGCGGTGCCCGCCCACGCCCCATCGCTAAACCCGTCCCATTCTGCTGCAAGCACCCACGTGCCTAGTGTCTGCTGATTCACTCCGACACTGACAGGCAAGCGAGCCACTGCCCACCCGTCTTCCCAAAACGGCCATCTCTCTAACTCCACTCACCCCCCACCCACTACCCCGGCCTATACGCAGCAGCGACAGACAGCATCCCTGCTCAGGTCCCTCAGAATCTCCTCTGGATGAGTGCGGCCTGCCCGGAGGGTCCACAGAGCGCCCTAGGATATCCGCTGGATGAGCTTGTCCTCAGTCAGGCAGAAGAGCGCATTGATGGAGAGCTCCGAGATGAAGGCTTCGCAGGCACGCCGCGTCACGCCCTTACAGCCACGCAGGTCGAGCAGCGTCAGCCCGGACACACGCTTCAGGTACAGCAGACAGGCGTCCGTCAGCTTATTGCAGCCTGGGGGTGGAGAGACGGGGTTAGGCTTCACAGGGTCAGCGTGGGAGCCCACGACAGGCAGAGGCAGGGCAACACACCAGCCAGGTTCATCTCGACGAGCGTGTTACGGGTGGACGAGCCCACGGCCGTCAGCAGGTTGACGGACTGGTCGGTGATGCAGTGGCAATGCGACAGGTCAAGGCGCGCCAGCAAGGGCATGTGGCGAATGAGGAGGCGCAGGGTGGAGTCACTGATCTCCAACCCCGCCAGGCGAAACGTCAGCATGTTCCTCAGCTTGCTGCGGTTATCGCAGCCTGCAGGGGGAGCCACAGGACAGCAAAAAAAGGTCTCATTTTATTTTACTAAAATCACTGACAATGTTAGACTTCTCTTCTCTACTCTGGAATACTTGAAATTTGAATTTAACATACAGCATTTGAATCCAGTGACTTGGATGCACTCAAAGCCCAGACAAACCTGGTGGGGTGACAAGGTCACGGATCTGCGAGTCCTTAACCCCCTGCGCCCAGCGCAAGTCCAGGGTACGGAGAAGGGGGCAGCTGGGGGAGCTCAGGGCAGAGATCGAGGACCAGGAGCAGCCCGACAGCAGCAGGTCTTTCAGGCCTGAGGAAGAGGCACACAGGACATGCAGAGCTTCCTCCCTTCCCTGGGCTTGGTGCACGGCTCGCCCCTAGCCCCCACCACGCAGGGCACCTTAATATTATATCCGCAGCAATATCTCTTATGTGAATGTGAGAATGAAACAAACTGCAGTCAATGTCCTCACCCGGCAGGCGGTTGATGAGCCAAGTGAGCTGCTTCTTCGAGATGGAGGTCCAGGACAGGTCCAGCGCGACAGGCTGCCGCTTGGTGATGCCTGCCAGGGCCTGGGGGCTAATGGAGCGGCTGCGGCTCAGGTCAATGCGGGTCCACAGGCGCTTGTCACAGCTCCTGGGGACATAGCAAGACCAAATATTCAACATCAGGTGTACCTCCCATACCTACAGCTTCATGCCCTCTGACAGCACAGTAAGTACATCTTAAACAAATGGGACCATGTACCCTTCCTCAACACGCATCCACGTGGCATGTACCCTTCCTCAACACGCATCCACGTGGCATGTACCCTTCCTCAACACGCATCCACGTGGCATGTACCCTTCCTCAACACGCATCCACGTGGCATGTACCCTTCCACCGGGGTCCAGATGCCGGTGTTTCGGTACCATACGGACATTTACTTACACCCAGTTTGGTAAGCAGTTTAGTAGTAAAATATTAATGAGATGCATATTGTGACACCCGAAAGTTAGTGATCTATATAAATTCAGCATATCCTTAAGTTTAATAAACGTGTCAGATTTTAAACTACAAAATGTACCACCATCATCTTTTTACCTCATTTATCCACAATATCTCCTCTTTCAAAAGATGTTGTAGCTCTTGAACTGTTTTTTTCTTCACTGCCACTTCAGTGCTTATTGCTTCCACGATTTACTAAAACAATAGCATGTGCATGGTGCATTGTTAACTGAATTTAATAAACATAAGGATATGCCGAATTTATACAGACTCCTGACTTTTGGGCATCGCAATACACATCTCGTTATCTTAGGCACACTACTAATCTGCTTACCAAATTGTGGGTGCAAGTAAATATTCGTAAAGTACCGAAAAGCTGGCGTTCGGACAAATGTTTCACGCATCTAAAATCATCTAAAGCCCTGGTGGTTATTGCGCACGCACCACATAATCGCAAAGTGATTGCGACAGCCCTACGTACACCCTTTCTCACCACGCACCCATGTTTCCTTAAAATGCATGCACACTGCTTGCGTTCCACCCTTTGAGCGCCGCCCCGGGATGCTCTTGTGCCACTTACCACTTGTACCAGCTTTTGCAGACAGTCATGCAGACACACAGCTCTGCACGGGTCAGATAGCGGAAGACGGACACCCACACCTCCTTCTCACAGCCGGGCTCGTTGCCCACGTCCTTAAAGGAGGGCAAGGACAGCAGGGAGGGTGGGGAACAGGAGGTGGTGGGGGGCGGAGGAGTAGGTGAGGCTGAGGATCGGGAAGAGGAGGAGGTGGAGGCCTCGTCCCCATCCAAGGCGTGGGCCTCTGCGTGGTTGCGCCCTTGAGAGCGTGGGTGTCGCCCTCCACCAGGGGTCCCGCCTCCACGGCCCAGCATGAGCCCGTTGCCCGCGGTGCCGTTCTTCTGCCGCAACCGCTGCAGCGACTTACGCTGCACGTAACCCTGGCTGCTGGGTGGGGCCCTGGGGGACACTGCCGCCTCCAGCTTGGGGACAATAGCGCCAGGGTCACGCTTGGCTTTGGGTGGCCGCTGTAGCGTCACTGTCAAGTAGGAGCCATTCAGCAGGTCGTCATTCAGGTCTGACACGAGCAGCACAGGGGGTTCGGGCTCTGAGTCTGACTGGTTTGCTTCATCTTCATCCACGTCCTCATCCACTGCATCTTGCCCTCCCATGCCATCCATGCCACAGTCCTCGCTGTCCCTGTCGTCGTCATCCTCATCCTCCTCTGCCTGACTGCAGCGTCTGTGTGACCGCTTCCTCTTGTCTAGGGGTCCATCTTCGCTCTCCTCCTCCTCCTCTTCCTCCTCCTCTTCGTCTACATCACGGTCATCGCTGTCACTCTCACTGTCCTCATCCTCCGTATCGCCACGCCGACGCTGGCCACGTCCCGCTCCCCGTGGCCAAGGGCGTCCCCCTCGCTGCCTGCGCCCGTCACGCACACCCATGCCACGTCGCATCCTAAGAGAAGCACCACCACTGTTGCGACCCACACGGGAGGCGGAGCCTCTCCACAGGCCCCGCCTACCCGGCCCAACACCCCGTAGGGAGGAGTGGTGCAAACGCGACGTAGAGCCGCCCCGGGCATGCAAGGCCAGCTTCCTGCTGCTGCCAAGCCCTCCCCCACTATCATCATCATCGTCGTCGTCGTCATCATCATCATCATCATCATCGCTGGCTGAGTCCTCATCTTTGTGACTCCCACGGCGACAAAGGAGTTTAGATGAGCGGGGGTCGAGGGCAGAGGACTTGCGCTTCTGGGATCACAGCAAAGCCCAAGTTAAAAACTGAACACGCCAGCCGGTGAGCTTAACAGCAGGAGGCATAACGGCACTCTTACCAGCTGCAGAACTTTATTTCTCTCCAACTTTATCTATGAACACAAAAGGGGGAAAAGAAATTAACACCCCAAATCAGCCAGAAGTCTAAAACCAGTCAAGATAATCCTCTCAGCTGGTTCAGGCGACCACTCATGCATGTTATAGTTAGGTTATGAGAGAGGGAGAGGCCTCACCCGCTTTCTGAGACGGAGCTCCAGGGCTCCGGCACGCTTCCTGTTTTGGTGGTGCAGAAGCAGCCTGTGGGAGGAAGAGGGTGCAATAGAGAGCGCAGAGAGGGGCCGCCCAGGGCGCCTGCCCCTTCCCCGGCCACCCCCACCCTCGTCGACAGCAGCGCCCCCTATCCCCTTCTTGTTGGAGCGCTTCTCTGACGCAGGTGCAGCTGGGGAAAGAGAGCCTACAGACGCAACGCTGTCATCGTCACTGCCGGAGGACTGGGGGTGGGGGGGGGAAGCGTGTTAGGAGAGTAGGATCATAGGCACATTCTCAAAGACAAACATATATCCTCGTATAACATACATGTATATACGAGGATATAAATGAATCACAGAGACTAAAAAGTGACAGGTCCTACCTCAGACTCTGAGTCTTTGCCCACAGCACACTTAGGACACTCCCAGCAACTGGGCAGATCCTTGTTGACGACACCCTCGCCCGGCACCTGTATACAAAGCATTTTTTACACCACAATTCCTCTCCAAAAAGCATGATGGCACAAAAAGAGTGAAAGTGGGCTGTGGTGTGTCACCTTCAGGCACCCGGGGTGAGCGATCTGGGCACAGTTGGAGCACTCCATGAGTGTGAGGGAAAATGGCGTGTCTTCGCCAGCCTCCTGACTGCCCTCCCCACACACCTCACACACTGCAGATAAGGGCAGGCCGGGCTGAGAGAGAGAAAAACCAAGTGACACTCACGTACATGGTCGCCACGCACACGAGCAGACATGCGCCGGCAGACGCAGTTAGACACACACACAAATACAGACACACTCACAGCTAGGCATTGGCGCAGCACGCAGGTCTGTTTCAGTTTGCCTGGTCCCCCAAACTTCTTCATGTCCCTGCAGAAGTTGCAGTCCCCGCACTCGGAGCGCAGGCATGCCTCACAACGTTTGCAGCGCACACGGCGCCGGCGCAGAACCGACATGGAGGACGGGGGCTTGACAGGCCGCGGGGGGGCGAGCGTCGATGAAAGGCGAGGTCGGCCCACCACCGGAGGGGGTGGAGGGGGCTGGTACCAGGATGGCTGGGGAAGGAGAACACCACGAAAAGCCAATGAGCGCCTGTGTACCGCTTATGGATTGAATGTCGTTTTAATGTGAGTGACGGCTCACCCTCTTGGGCCACCTGACGATGGGCTTTCCAGTGTAGGACAGTTTGGGGTTGTCACTGGCATGTTCCTGGAGCAAAGTCTGAGAAAGACAGCAGGGATAAGGAATAGGAGTAAAAAGGGAGCAGCTTGGGCTGCAGCACAGTGCCATGAGCTCAAGTGGTCTCTTATACCTTGATGTCGTGCAGCAGTGCAGGGGCATTGTGGATTCCAGCCGGGACACACTTCTTATGGGAAGGGAGAGACTCCAGCTTCCCCAGAAGGCTCCAGAGCCCCTCAAGCTCAAAGGGAGCGAGGTGAACTTTGGTGCCAGGCTTGAGGGGTGTGTGAAAAGACTCATCTTCCTCCTCCTCCTCCTCCTCCTCCTCATCTTTGATGTGACCATTAAGAGTTTCGTCTTGGGATGATGGATCTTGCTTCAGGCCTGAGAATAAAATTGCGAGTTGTACATATAGGTGGATGCATTCTTCATGAAGTGGGTACAAAATGTAATGTAGTTGTGCAGAGAATGGGGAGAATGGGCCATTGATAAATGAGAGAGGCTTTGAAAGGAAGGGGCGGGGGACAGACCTATGCCCAGCGAGTGCTTCTGGAATTCAGGCGTGAGGTGCGACGTGTTGGTCAGACTATACAGGTAGCGCTCCAGCACGTACCAGCACATTTCATAGTAAAAGGGGTAGCGGAACTTGGCAGGAACCTGCGGGGCGTGAGAGTGATGTCAGGCCCGGCACATAACCCCATACAGAACCCAGCCAGACAGACTGAATCAGGATACCGCCCCAGGCATTTCTCAGAGCTGCCAGTCACACACCCACCCGTGTACGGTCCTCGATGCCGTAGATATGCAGCTGCATGGGGACGTTGAAACTATGCAAGAAGTTGCCCCCGAACACCAAGGTGTCGACTGGTGTATACACAGCATGGATCCAGCCTGGCACAGAGGAACAGCCATACACCCGAGCTTAGCATCACTGCAGGGCCACACACATTCAAACTAAGCTGTGCAGAAAACAAAGTAAAGAAAACTCCTTCTGTCACTTGTAGTACATGCTGAAAAGATGTTACTTTTTAACTGTGGCTTTGCTGGGTCATTTATGTTGTATGGCAGCCAGATCAAGAATGGCCACTTCCTAAGACATGCCTGTGGAGACAACCATACCAGAGGGGATGAGGAAGGTATAGCCCTGCTTGAGCTCGATCCTCTGGCAGTCGGTTGCCTTGTCACCCAGGAAGATATCACCTTGTTTCCCTGACAACACCCAGTTCTCATATAAGTCCAGATTCTGGGGAGTAGGTGGGATCAGCCAAAACACCTGAGGAAGGGAAAAAGGCATCCAAAATGAGCAGAGTAAGCTTCCTGCGCTACCACCCTCCAACTACAGGGGGCTGTCTGAGGCACCAAGGCCTGCTCTCACCTTGCCCCCACGCAGTATGTGGTACCACACGGAGGTGCCTCCGAAGTCGATGTGGAAGTCTGTGTAGCAGCCCTGCACGCTCATGAGGCAGTACCTGAGGGGAGGACACAGCACTGGTCACAGGTTAAGTGCTAGGGGAGCTGCAATGTCACCAGACACACAGAGAGGAGGGCAGGGTAGGGGAAGAGCAGAGCTGGAAAGGGGCACTCACTTCTGCACTTTGGGGTACTGCATGTCAATGATAGCATTGGTGGAGTCTCTCTGACGCTCCTTCAGGTGACGGGGCCACATGTTGTCCACCCAGTCGATCATGTCCACCTGCAGAGGGTGAATATGCTGCAGTCATTCAACCAGCAGTGGCCTTTCCCTCCGGAGGAGGCGGTGTGGCCGACACTCACAGACTTGGGCCTCTTGACGAGGTTCTCCAGCTTGGTGTGGCTGAACTCCAGGCTGATGACGTTGTAGAGCTTCTCCCTGTGGGCCGGCGGGGTCTCATAGTAGCGGCGCCACTGGGCCATGGACATCTCGATGCCCTTCTGTGTGGTCACGTCCATCACGTCGATCAATCGCCGACTGCCTGCAGAAGGAGCAGAGCAGCCACCAATCACAAGGGAGCAAAAGGAAATGTTCCAATAAAAGCCATGATGACAGGACAAGAGCAGAAGCCAGTCGGAAAGGTGCAAAAGAAATCCTCAAGTAAGAGAATCCAAGACGAGTGCTCCTACCTACAAACACCTTGACGTCATTGACACTGAAATCCGAATCTGGCATCCTGTAAGGGCCAGAACAGGGATTAATGTTACTTTGAATCCATTATCATAAAATAGTTACACAATAATGTTAATAAACAACTAAACAATTACTGTGACAAATGCTTTGTTAAAATATATTAATATATACAACAGCATAATAATTTCTTTAAAAAGCCTGCATAATAAGTTTAAAGGTCATACTTGATTCCTAGTCCATCAGGCCTTTCAAAAATGATGGGGTCCCTCAGTCCCTCTCTCTGGATGTATTCATACGTGAAGTCTGTGGGAATACACATGTAATATGACTTTCCATAGGTAAAGGAGGCAAAAATGGCCAAGCCTAAAACTGTATTAATGTCATTGTCAATGTTTAAAGAAGTTCCTGGCTCACCATTCATTAATAATCATTTAGAGTGAATGTTTTACTTCTACAGAGGGGTAACAGAATGGGTGTTATAGTACCAGTAGTCCTGATTTAAATCAATCTTTGAAGAAAATGTTGGTTTATGTGATCTATTCACATTAGAGCTATGTGTATCAAAGGCACTCCAACAATCATTTCTACATTTCTATTTAGATCCACAGAATAATTAGGAATTTCAGTAAACCTTTCCCCTCCATTCTTTTGACCAAATTAGAGCTGAATCGATCGCTCTGCAATTTCTCTTCCAAGTCAAAAGTCCTCTTCCCCTCGATCTCATCATCTGAGATGCCGTCATCTTGGTAACGCCGTCTTGTGCCTGACCGCTGAGAACAAAAACATTAGCCTATGTGAACATGAAACAAATATGACAAGTGGCTATACCTCAAACTATTTAAATCGATAATCCTGTAGTTTAAACACACAAGTACATAACTTTAAGCCAAGATGAAGGCTACGTTGCGTCTGAAATCACATTATACTGAGGCTGCACATTATAATCAAAGGGAAACCCCAGAAAATACTAAATCTTTAAAATCATTGGAGACAGTACAGTAAATTCAAGCTCTCCGATGAACTTTTTCAAAGAACAAGATGGGGTAGCCTAGAATCATGACCAAAAGGCTACGTAACATATCTACGAGATGGGAGCCACTTTGATAGTCAATGAAACAGACTCCGTAAAAATCCAGCTACTCATGTCATTTAAAATGGGCTACAAGGTTTATTCTATGCAAGCTATAGCAAATGCAGCGAGCAGAACCCTGCCATCAGCAGAGCAGGAGAGGGTGAAGCTAAGGAAATGGGAGCTCAGGCTATGAGCCCAGGAGGACCATGACATACCTGATAATCAAACATTTAGTTCTCTTCTACATGCACGAATTCAGATACTTTTTCCACAAAATACAACTCCCTCTATCAGCACTGGACATGTTGAGACAGCGAGACTAACAAAGGTTTTGGGTTTGCCTCATACCTCAGGGCAATAGATTCAGAACAATCCCCACACACCAGAACATAAAGGTACGCCTTCATAAGCATGGTCCCACCCACTATTCCATTTCCTTCATATATTCATGTCTCTCTGCTACTTTTCATATTATGGCTCTTTACAAACATGCACATTCAGAGCAGCAGATGATAATGCACCAGCATTAAACTTCAGCATAAAAGCAGGCAAGCATAACATTCTATTTTTCATGCTCATTCTCAGCCGAGTTTCCCAATACTCAGAGAACAATGACACTGATTACAGGAAAAAATGACTCACCAACTGGCTACAGTGGTTCTCCTAAACCTTGCAAAACAGCAATTTTTGAGTGCACTGCTAATCAACACCTTTTTATCCATGAGATATTCTGCATTTTTGGTGATATGACAGCACTCTCTTCTCCCATCCACAGCTGAACAAACCATGCTAGTAGATAGCTTGTTAAAGTATCCAACCTGGCTAAAACAATGACTACAAGAGTAAGGAAGAACCCTTCCTTGGTTTAAAACAAACTGATTTTAAATATCCCTAAACATGCGCATCAGTCCACCTCAGTGCACAATGCAAGAAAAAGCGACAACACACCAGGAAGGACTGGCGTGGGAAAGCCATCCCACACGGAAAGCCGTTTGAAGGACAGTACATAGCATAGTGGACCTACAAAACAGAGCTAGACCAAAGATGTAGGATCCCAAAAGACACAGACAAATACGCCATTTCCTCTTATCTGCATCTACCAATCACTGCAGTTATATGCTGCATCTTTAGGAAGCTGCGATTATAATAGTGCTCCAAGAAACGAAGGTCATTCCTTTTAAACAGTTACAATACTAAGCCACAATTACAACAATAATAAAATGAAGACCCACATGCTAACAAAGCAAATATCAGTGAAAACTGCCATTCGCTGTGCTGTAATGTCAGCTGTTTAAAGGTCAAACAGAGACACCAGCGGCAGCCTGTCCCTGCAGCCCTGCAGAGACACTACACACCTCGCACCTTCAGTGTCACCATTCCTTTTTTCCTCTTCATCACTCTCTCACTGCCAACGGCTGTCACTTCTTCCCCATCCTCCATCATCGGCTCTCTGAGAAAAGCCTGTTGTCTCTCCTTGAGCATCCCTTTCCTCTGCAGTGTCCCCTCCCTGCCAGCTTGCTCACTCCACCCCCCCCCCCCCCCCCTACACTCTATTTCCGCACCTCCGCTCACATGGCTAGCATCTCGCACAGCCTCTCGGGTTACATGCCTGTCTGCCTTCGCTTCCCTTCACTGTACTTAAGTATCTGCAATCAGCCCCCTCTCCAGCACAGACAGGGTTTCTCTTTCTCTCTCTGAGCCACCCCCACCCTGTCCATGTTATTATCTAAGTCAATTCCCTTCTCATCCAGTGGAGGAGGATGTTTAGTCACCATCAACTCCAACTGAAACTGCAAATTACAATAAGAACATCATCTTGCATGTTCTCTTAACTGATATATAATACTACTACTAGTAGTGCTAATAATAATAATAATAATAATAATAATAATAATAATAATAATAATAATGTTTGGCGTTACTGGCATGCAAGAGCTGGAACATCAGTGGTCAGTGGAAACATTCCCTCTGGCATGTGCCCATCAATGCTCAGCATAACAAACACAAAGGGGAAACCACTGCAATTTTCTAAACTATTTGTTTATTTTATACAGCAATTAAGAAAAACAGCCAGCAAATTTTTCAGCAACAATGCCATTCACAGCCACAATCACCCTAATGAATCCCGTGCCTTTCATCTCACTCCCTGCAGCCGATTGTGTGCTAAATGCAAGGAAGCTGCCTTGCAGACGAATCAGTAAAAACACAGATGTTTATATATAAAAAAGTTGTATACCTGCATTTTAATTGTTACGTAAAAGTACTTTTCCTCATCTTTCACATGGTAAGCTAACCCAGGCACCACCTAATGATCACTGGTGGATATTCATGTCACTGGTGGATATTCATGTATTCAACCACAAAAACTACAGACAAGGATGTTGTCACACTAGTGACATCACTACTATAATAATTGGGCGCCTTGAAAATTACAATTTTGTAAACGCTGCCTGGAAATGATTTGTATTTGTGACAATTTACTAGGAGCGTAACTCTTACTATACAAACTTATCTTTGTATTAACTGTCCGTGCAATGACGTTTTGAGAATCTGGCACTGTGATCGCATTAAGAGTTGGGAGTAGAAATAGTATCGCGATGTATAAATATAACGCCGCATTATAACAACGTTCACCCGCAAATAATAAAACAAAGTTCAAGTTACACATCACATTTGAAATAACCAACCCAATATAAAGCATTCAGCTAGATCGACTCCTAAAACTTCAGTACAACACGGACTAGCGCACAAACTAGGCGCCGTATAAAGCAGGGCAGTAACGTGGGCCTAGCATCACGAAACCCTGCTCTGTTCTGCAATAAATTCCTTCCGACTGTCACATGTCAAGTCGGCATGGAAACACAGGCTTCTCCGATGCAACCACGGCCAACCACTGATGCAGGTAGCCACACACATTTCTGCAGTAAGTGTTGGCATGGCGATAGACTCTCCGGAGCGTCTATCGCCATGCCAACACGTCCCGGAGAAACACGAAGTGATGCGGCCGCCTGGATGCCGGGCATGATATACTTTGACAGCTACTAGAAAGCAAGGCCAACACCAGGTTCAACGGCGAATCTGTTCTGTACTCAGGACGAAACTGAAATAAAGTTAAATATACATTCCAAGAGGCGTTAGTTGACTTACCAGGCGCTTGCTATAGCGGGGACGCGCGTCATCCATTATGAGACGATGAGTGCGAGCAGTAAGTCAGCTAAGTTATGTCCACGGCCAGGATCCAATCTGCTTTTGTGGGAAGCTCCAACTGGCTAGCTACTTTCTGCCACAGTACGGACGCCTCCCGACAACTTCTGGTATATGCGTGTGAAGCAAGATAAATACCTAATAAGAAAGTAACTAAACAAAAAAGATAGCGCGGGCGTCAGCCTGCTAACCGGCTAGCTGACTACTAACCGACGCTAACGCACATACTCGCACCTAGCACCTGATGCCTGTAGGACAGCTCAAAATTCACTTTACAATATAAAGTTCGTAACAAAATAATGGGATAACATGCAAATGTAGCTTATTTACACACAATGGTACCCTTGTTAGCTAGTTAGCTATCCTAACCAGCTAGCAAGCTAGCTACCCCGCGCTAAAAGGAATCATTGCAAAAACCAAAACAAAACGGCACTGAGAAAATAAAAGAGCTAGCTGGCTCTGGTGGCCGTTTGCGCAGCCGGGCTCTGCTAATCGCTCAGTAAAAAATGTGTAAATTTCACAGCGCTCGGCCCTGGCTCGCGTTGGGCCCTCGCTGTGCCGGTTCCCAGAGCTGGGGAGCTGTCCTTCCCCGCGCGCTCCAAATCACGAGCGACGGCTCGCTCCAGTCCGCGAGTCCAAGTTTAAAATTCAACGGCAAACACGGTATTCCGGAGTAACTTTCCGCCCTTTTAGTCGAATACCTTCTGCCATCTGGGGCCGTAACTGTCATGGGAATGACCCGTAAGACCGCGTTTTACGTAAACCCATGTAGCTTTCCCTCAGACTATGCAACTCCAGTGTTAAAAAGAGATGTTCTTGGCGTTATTATCCGATAAAGTTAATGTGCTCCCCTACTCGCCGCCATTTTCACACCGTCACAAATACGCCGCTGATCTCCATTAAAGACCCGCCCCTTACTGCAATATGCCCCAATTGCTAACGGTAATAGATCCGCCGGATATATTTTAATTGGTCAGTAGCAAACCCAGTCTAACAAAGAGAGGGCTGAGGGGCATTGGTAAAACGGGGTCAGCAGTGAAGCCAATCAAATGCCGTGTAGTAGTCTTGTGCATATACCTTTTCCGGCTGGCTGAAATGTCTAGAACGTCATATTTGCCGAGTACGTATAAGAGCTTCAGCCGTTGGATATGATAAATATTCACGAGCTCATCACCAATCGCGTTGTAGATTTAAGGCCGCTTGGAGGTTTTCGCGATTAGAGGCACAAGGCGTTTTGAACTGTCAGTCCCTGTGATCAAGCCATCTGGAGCTCTTAATTTAGGGTAATGGTGACAGTGTAGTGCTGAATGTCTGAAAGCTAACAAACGAGGGAAGAATTGGATGCAGGGATACCAGCTCGCTCGCATCTGGCGTGACACTCACGCTTTCTGACTCTCACGCTCACCTAAGCAATCTTACGGCAAATCTACATTATTCTATTATAAACCTAAAATTAGTTATATCAGAAGCGTTCGGGTAGTTTGCAGACCCTACAAACTATTTTCAACTAAATAAAGCTGTTAAATATATGTAAATGTGTGTGCAGGCGTCTCTCGAACTGAAAATCTCAGCTAACCAAAGTTGGCAATCCTGTCCAAGGATGTATGTTGTCGTAGGTATGGAGGTTAGCGAGAACTTTTTAAATAATTAATGGAAAAACGTTACAGGTTGATAAGCAATTGAATTGACACATACATTTCACTTTTTTATTTGAAGTACAACAAAAAGAAACTAAAGAAAGTGACTGCTATTCGTTCTGTAGGATAAAGAAGCAGTAATATATAGTTATTGTGACACCACTATAAACAAAATATCCGTGAAGCTTTAACACAAGAAAAAGACTGAAATGTGGTCTCGTTAAAGTGTCTTCATATTAATCGATGTATGGGTGGGTTCATAAGAACTAGCGCCATCTGCCTGCCCCCATGTGCCTTATTAATAGACCACACACATTTCTTCGTAGTGGATATGGCAAAAATATCTCTTTATATCTGCATACTTTTATCGAAACTATTTCCTTGATGACGTTATTATATCCTGAGCTACTTTGCTTAAAACATTATATGTTGATTATATCTGCAGTAATCAAAACACTTTCTGGTTTTCAAATTTCAGTTTAACATCACACAACACATATCTTCCTGCTCCAAGCACTGAACCACTTTGGAGGAAGGAGTCAAAAGGGTGACTAAGCAAAAGAGAGAGATAGAGGAAACATAAGACATTTTGAACAGTAGATTTAAGAAATACTGATTGGCAGCAATCACAGGAGTCTCTCCAAGTGATTTTAGAACAGTTTCTCAGTGATCTGTTAACTCTTTAAAGCCAGTTTGTTTTTGGGAGGCATCTATCAAGTACCTAAAAGAAAATAATTGAAACACTTTAGTTTGGATATTTAACATTTCAAGTCATAGTACAATGAAAAACACGTAATGGTGCGGCAATGGCCAGCATTCCTTACCTACTGTTTTCTAAGTGATGAAACTGTACAGAACAGAACTGAGGATGATAACAAGAACCACACAGCACAGCATGATCATCATCTTCTTCTGCAAATGGACAGGGAAGGACGGAAGATGCACAGAATGTTATTGATCCCTAGTGGGAAATTCGAAATAAATGAATAAACACATTCAATAATAAAATAGAAGGAAAGCATCCAGTGGGATGAAAACTCAAGGCTGACAGATTAAAGGTTCCTGCACGTACCCTGCGGGCCTCAGCCTGGAACTTGGCTGCCTTTTTTGTGTCCGCCACCCCCCGCTCCACAAAGCCCACTGACTGGTCCATGTTGCTCTCGATCCTGTCGATCATGCCACCCTTAGCAAGTGTGGGTGAGAAAGTTGCAGAGAGAATTGCAGATGAAGAAAACAGATGTGGGGATGAAGATGGTGAGTTAGATAGATAGTAGGGGACTGGAAGAAAGTAGGTACAGAAAAAGGAATAGATACTGATGGGTGAGCATCAATCCAGACAGGTTGTGTTGCCCCAGTGTGTAGAACAACGCCATTCACAAGACAAGCACACTGTGCCCAGACTATGCTGCTGAATATCAAGCACCAAGGATTAATACAGTACCTTAGAGCCTTCTCTCCAAAATACCCCATACCTGGCACACTGCTGATTTCATGCACTTTGCTTTATCCAATCTTATCCACTCCCAGCTTGGAGACATGGCCTCATTTATTCACTATTATACCCTGGAATAAACAGATTACTTAACGTGACACACTGACAAGTGAACAACGCTTAGTGCTCTGATAAATAGGACAGTAGTGCCACAAAACCAAAGCAGTTAATGAAGAAAGACTTACCACACTGCCACATTTACCTCCGGAAGCAGTGAGCAAAGGAAATCCCAGTGGTTACTCCTGTTCTTACCAGGGAAATGATGTTCTCAAGCTCAATGAAGAGCGAATACTGACAGAGCTAAATAAAGAATGTAAGGGCCCTAAGACGGCCCCACCGGGGCCCCTGCTTACACATTCCACCCGATGGCCTTTCCAGTTTCTGTGAGGGAAACAGACATTTACCTGGTTCTCCACCAGCATGGCGATGTCCACAAACATGTCATGCAGCTCCTTGATGCTGCTCTCCAGCCGCACTATGTCCTTGTGTCGGGCTTCGATCTCACTCAGTGCTTGCTGTGATATCCCCGAGCTTACGATCTGCAGACACGCAGGCCCTGTCAATGAGTCATGTGAACTGACACACAAATGCACAGGCCTATACAGCGAAGGCAAATGACTGCTATGGTTCAAACACAGACTGCTCAGTAAGAAAGAGTACTTCACCCCAGCTGTGAAAACAGCTGCATTTCCACCTTCCAGCATTTGCTCCAGCTCATCATCTGTTGTGGATTTGCCAGCTATGTCAGAACAGGAGAATGGATTCATGCAGACAGGACACCACTATCATCATTTAAAACAGAGTCAATACAGCACAGACATTCTTTCAGAGTAAAAAAAACAAAGAGTTCATTCAGCTCTACATTCAGCCTGGAATGTGTTAATATAGGTCAGACATTTGCTTGCAGTATGTCTTCCTAAATAATTTATCGAATAATGATTCTGGTAGAAATGTAGGGATATGTATAATATTTTGTGTAAATTAGATGCTTAAGCAAATGTGTAATACTTCAGTGAACAAAACAAATCTTTGACTGACTATACACACTTGATTCACACATAATCATTTACACATTCACAGAAAGATACATGCTTACATTTCTGTGCTTTTGGTGATACTTGTTTTAATCCAACTCCTGATTCCTAAACGTAAACTACTCAAAAAAAGTTGCTTAAATTGTTTTGTTAGGATATCTGGGTAAATTTCTCAAAATATGTCCCCGCAAAGCAGACTCTGTACATATACAGTGGTACCTCGGAACTCAAACTTAATTTGTTCATAACTCTGGATCGAATCCTAAAAAGTTTGAGTTGTGATCGAATTTTCCCCATAAGAAATAATGGAAAACCAATTAATTGGTTCCCGGCACCAAAAAATTACACATAAATATGTTTTTTTTTTAGCATTTAAACACAAAATGAACCAGATAAAACAAGAAGAGCATATACTGTACTAAACACATCTATCCATAAATCTACATTTATCAAAACAGTAATTTGTAAAGTAAGAAAATAAATGTATAAAGTTAAAAAAGATTGTCCGCTCCACCTGTGTGCCACGCCCCCTCGTTAACCCCGTGTGGAATCGCTGTGTGATCAGCTGTTTCTAGTTCTCGTCATTAGTCCTCTGTATTTAGTCCGTGTTTCAGTTTGTTTCCCCAGTCCGGTCATTGTATTGTCCGTCTGCGTTTTGCCTGCCTTACCTGTAATTAAACCCCGTATTCCCCGATACCCTGACGTCTGCGCCTTTGTCTCCGTCCTGTCCCCTATCGGCAGGACAATATTATTATAATTAAATGTATTAATGGTTTATTATTAATATTAAAAGAATTAATAAGAAATCTTTATTTTTAAATGTATTTTATTATATAATAATAATTACTGTTACTGTCCATCATTGTCTAAATGTATTTTTACTGTCTAAACATATGTATTCGACTAGTGTAAACATGCACGATGCTATCACAGTGAATGCGAGGCTGAGACTGAAGCGTTACACTTAGTTTCCGCTGAGAGACGTGCCGCGTGACTCATTTCCCCGCGCATACAAGTTATCTTAGGTCAGCATTCACGGTTTGAATTCTGAGATTCAAAACGAGCTCTAGGTAATTTTTTTTTCAAACTGGTTGGTTCGACTTTTAAGAAATTCGAGTTCTAATGAGGTACCACTGTACATCCATACACACTACACACATAAATGACTCACTGATCTCCAGCTGCCTCTGGATCCGTCCTTTGCTCCTCTCCCTGAAGTCGACCTGCGCCTCATTGTACTTGGTCATCACCTCCACAAACTTCCTCGACAGAACTGCATGCTAAGAAAGTGGAAGCAGAAGCCTTATTCTGCAGCAAATTCTGGGTGACACAGTCAGCTGAGGCATAAATGGTAATGAAGTGTTATACCTGAGACTTGCGTATCCGCAGGTCAGCTGACACTCGCTCCCCAGGGGATTCTAGATTTTGCTCAATACCTGTCATGTTATATCAACACACACCAGAGCCAATTAGTACAACCAGACAGCCATTGCAGCAGAAACTGCAAGTCAACACATACTTAACACACATCACAGAGGAACACAAAGACTCATAACATATATGTACTGACTCTTCAGTTTGTTGCGAGCATTATTGGCCATTTTCTTGATATCATTGGTGACTGCCTCCAAGTCATCTTGGGTTTCTGTAAAGAAAGACTGTACTCACATGAAAATCAAAAAACAATGAGAAGGGAAAGACAACGAGGAGGGCTTCAGAGAGTCACAGACAAGAGAAAAGTGAAGAGATTCCACAAACAGATTTAGAGAAGACAGTAAATATATAGCAGGAGGCGGCTGGATCTACTCTGATCCGACGTCGGTGCAGAAAGAATGATGGAGTAAAGCTTCTTGACTTCGGTCACATTCTCGTCTATCTTGTCAATGTTGCTTCTGATCTCCTCAATCTCAGAGATGGAATGAGAAAATATGATCAGCAAGACTGGGCCCCACTGCAGGAGAAATGACTGACAAACACTGACTCACGAGAACACCTGACATACTATAGCACAGGCACAGTGGAGTGTACCGGTGCACTGCCCAGGGAGGCCTTCAGCACAGATGGTGAGTTACCTGAGAGAAGAACTCATCCATAAAGGCGGCGTTGTCCACAGCCACCTCAGTCTCAACTGTATCATCGGCGTCGAGTGTCTGAGTGGAGATGCCCAACACAAAGGATCCATGTCACACACAAGCATGGAGTCCAGATTATTCCTGTGAGCATGGGCTTCATTTATACATACTTGTAGATGCTTTTATTTAATGTACATAAACTGGGTTTTATGTTCTTGAGAACACTAGAGTCCCATCCTGCAACACCTATTGTACTCCAGCATCGCAGCATCTCTGCCTCCCTTCATGTCCTGATAAATGTTAGCCTTTTAGCTGGAAGTTTCTCCCTCAGGCTTTGAGCCCACAACAGAAAGTCCTTGCTTAACTTTATCCTTAACAACTTTATTCTTAACATCAGCAGGCTCACCAATGAGAAAAGACAGTGTGGCACCAAAGCAGTGATAAGACCAAGTATTACACTGCATTTCATTTTAACCTTTTTTACAGCAGCCACTGGAAACGCCCACACTGCTCTCATCAGAGCATCATCTCAGAAATGGTCCAGGGTGTAGATGGTGTATAGTTAAGGCTGTTAAGGCACAATTACTGTGCACATTAAAGCCATGCAGTGCATCCAAAGTTACAGATGTCCTGGGTCCCGTGACATGACAGACAGAAAGAATGACCCTACTGACCAAGTGGATGTAAAGTGCAGCTCTGTACATATGGACATTACATTCTCATATAAAGCATGTTTTTGAAATGCACATTTGCTCCAATGCTCCAAACCAGTAAGGGCATCAGTTCACCACGTGTTACCCTACAAGTGTTTATTTTGCTATTCTTCTACATTTAACTTTCAAAAGTTAAAAAAGAATGGTCATTTGACACCCCAAAACTTGTCTAAATGTCCTGGCTCAAAAAAGCCAAGCAGCAAATGCAAAAAGAAAGCTTTCAGTATTGAAGAAAAGCCTATTATTATAGCACTTTATTTATGGAACTGTGCCATCGTTTTTTACTGGTTCATGTCTTGTGTGTGTGTGTGTGTGTATGTGTGTGCGTGCGTGTGTTACTTAAGAAGTTTTGAGCTTTTTGACCATAACCCCATTTTACTAAAATCCCCGTTGTTTCTGTATCGCTAATTTGCTTAAGACGAAGTTATTCAGGAACGTAACTATCCCGTTATAGGAGACCATACTGTATATGTATCTAAAACTATGCTCAATCGACTTGTGCCGCACTGTCCAAAGTGTGTCTTTGAAGAGATTCCCTGCAGCCAACTGTATGTACAGAGGACCACTTTACCAGTGGCCCCTTCAGGCTGGATAATAGTTAAGTCTAAATCTCCCAATAATACCATGAACAAGCCTCCCCACCCCCAGCTCTCAGGCTTAATACTCTTTTCTTGAGACGACAAAGAGGTGATTTAAACAGATGGCTATTTGGCCCGGATTGCGCTTACGAGTCTTTACCGAGTTGTCTGGTCATTTTGGGTATAAACAGCTGGCATGGATATGATAATCAGCGCGATTATTTTTTTGTGCGCTGCATACGAGTAATTTCTATTCTTAGGCGATGGGATTCGCCATTATGTTCCTGAACATGGATGTTGCCTACCAAGAGGACGGCAATAAAGCAGACTGTGATTACAGCACCTACGGATAACACAAGCACGTCTCACTATTCTTTTAAAATCGAAAGACGGGAAAAAAATCTCCTTTAGATTTGTCCACCGTGGAATTCACCCCAGCAGCGGGCGATATGAACAGTGGGGGCCACAGGAAGCGATGACACGGACACCAGGTGACAGCAGTAATACGGCCCGGGTCGCTCTTTACACGGTGCGCTCTCCGACATCCTTCATATGAAAACCAGTGACGGCTTACAATACCTAGATTCCTGAATCCCGGCTTTTAAAAAGTTTATAAAACTTTCTGACGCAACATAAACGCATTTCCTCTAAAGTACTAGTCCGTATGAAGAGAATAATCTTGCTTTACACTGGTGGCTACTGTTATCAATATAATTTAAATAAATTACTACTTTGGTCAGAAGTATTAGTGCCAGTTTATCCTGCCATTTGTATTTTTCTACTTCTTTCTTATTGATCTGAAACGTTATTTGACTTCCAAAGGTATTTTAAGCATATAAACACTACACTTACCGCTTTCAGTTGTTCCAGTCGATCTTTCATTTTTAAAGTCAACTGTAACAATTTTTAATTTTATTAAAATACCACCGCAGTGAAAAAAAATACAAAACCCAATTTAAAACTTGGTTGTTGCTTAAGTCCCGAAACTGTTGTTACCATTCGGTTTACAATAATACTGCCAAAAGTTAATTGCAATCAGTTGTCTTATCAATACATTCACTGCTGTTTTAACGCCGTTTAAAACGCATTGAAAACACACAATATGGCTGCTGCTTTCCGAACCCGTAGTTTTGCTAAACCTATCCTCTCAAGAGGGATTACAGCGACAGTTGTGTGCAGTGACGCTAATCTCTGGCCCTATGTAATCATATTGTAAAGCCCCAACCATGACATGCGCGCATGCTCGGCATCCCCCCCTTCACCAGCAGCGTCTGTCTGGGCAGTGTGGGCTGTAAAGACCCCCGGGCCCAGAGGATAAGGTGCAGGGTGGTAGTGGTCACCCACCTAATCCGCCTGCAAGCGGTCTTAACAGTGGTGAGGCACCCAGCGTGTAGAGAGCTGAGTTAATATCTGGGCTTCTGCAGCCAGAACAGTGCATTTTTATTAGAAATTTGAGATGGATATTAAACGTTCGGGTGGTCATGTTAGGGGACATGCTCAGCATGAAATAGGTGCTGCACAGAAAACTAAAACACGTGAAATTGATTGGCAGTTCAAGCCAGTAGCATTAAGCCATTGATGGCCCACTGCAAGCTGCTTGGCAGAGGGCATACTATTGTTTCAAGTGTTACATATTAGTAACATTTCTGTTCCAGCTAGTGTTTTTCAGCACATATATATTGTATGTCTGATTTAACAGAAACGTGAGCATCCCCAATGGCCCATAAGGAACCCGAGGGCAGTTTCCCAGGCAACCAGCTGCTGGCACCGTGGATCTCTGCCTCGCGGCCCAGAGCAGCCTGGGATACCCAGAGCGTGTCCTGCAGCAGCTCCCCTGAGGTGCAAACTCGCCTCCTTCAGACACGTCCATAGTGAAAGGAAAGACCTGCAGGCGGCTGCCTGGCCAAACCATTCCAGCTGGAGCCATAATCTGCCTATCAAAGTTATCACTTGTGTTGTAGCATAGCACACTTAATAAAATATGCAATAAGAACACTGGTATGAGAATAAACCCCATAAGAGCACTGTGAGTCATTTAATGCAGATTACAGTGACAGACTAAAGCCGCATGTAATTTGTGCAAATACATCGAGCTACAAGAACCTGCTTAGGAATGTGTTCTGTGAAAGGCATCACAGAAGTTCATCAAGCCCCATCAGCTGGCTGTTTGGACATAAGCATGTCTCCTTACTACTACTACTACTACTACTACTACTACTACTACTACTACACACGTTAAACTCAAAACCACAAACTGCATCTGGGCGTTTGTGCCAAAAAGTACAAACCTCTTAAAACATTCATTTTTTAATGAAAGTCAAGACAAAAGACCATATTCAGACAGATTTAATTCAGACACTAAGTGCGTCCATTCAGCTTCTGTATTTCAGTAAACTGATACTGAGTCCTTTGTTCCAAATGTGTGTCCATCTCACAATGCATCACACGTGCACATAGCATCTCTTCAACAGGACATCATACGTTCAAAAACAAATAGTAAACAAAAAAAACAATCGGCAATGGGGTTGTACAGTAAAAGGTTAAAGGTCAACCACAGAATCTGTGGTCACTCCTGCCACATAGAGGTTGCGAGGTCACAGGTTAGAGGTCGTCATCTTCATCTGGGAGCGCTGTTTCAGATGCCACCTATTGGGATTAGAGGAATTTGATTTGGGAGGTCTCCACATCTCATCGACACACACCGTCTTTGGTACATTAAAGCCCTCTGCAGCCATGTCACCTGAAAACGCCTTACCTTGAGATCGTGCTCGTACTGTGCAGCGAGTGAGGGGTCCATGGCCACCTCGGGGGGGGCAAGCGCCGGCATGGCAACAAACTCCAAGTTTGGGTCACCAATCAGCTTCCTGGCCAGCCACAGGAAGGGCTTCTCGAAGTTGTAGTTACTCTTGGCGGAGATGTCATAGTACTAGGAAATTGAATAGGAATGTCAGGAAGTGATGCCATGTTCAAGGACACCAAAGCTGAGCAACAAGCAGCTATACCAATGAGAAGGTAGAACAAAACAACTAGATCATGCTCTTGGCTTGCTTTGGGGCATGCCTTTTACCTTTCTGAACAGATAGCACCATCTACTGGGGTCAAAAAATACCGCAAATGGTTCAAAAAGTGTTTTTGCCATCACTAAAGAGGGACAACCACCATGAGAAATGGAGTTTACTACCTGTAGGTTCTTCTTGCGGTGGAAGACGATGCTCTTGGCCTTGACCTTCCTGTCCTTAATGTCCACCTTGTTTCCGCAAAGTACGATGGGAATGTTCTCACAGACACGCACCAGGTCACGGTGCCAGTTGGGCACATTCTTGTAGGTGACCCGTGAAGTCACATCGAACATGATGATGGCACACTGAGCTGAGGGAGGGAGGGTATGGGGCAGGAGGTGTCAGCAAAACACGAGACAGACCCAAAGGAAGTGCAAAAACTGAACACCCAAAGCAGAACCAACACATAGCAAATAAGAGGCTAGCACACCCTGTATATAGTAGCCATCTCTGAGGCCTCCAAACTTCTCCTGCCCAGCTGTGTCCCAAACGTTGAACTTGATAGCCCCTCGGTTGGTGTGGAAGACCAGGGGATGTACCTCCACACCCAAGGTGGCTGCAGAAAACAAAGGTTTGTTAGGAAGCCAGAAATGCCATCTTGAATTTAACATTAAAATTCTAGTATTATCAGGCATTATTTATTATATCTAGTCTCATGTGTGGTTTTACTGTATCTATAGGTTCAGACTGGGCCCATACGCAACCATGTCCAGACAAGACAAGGTGGCAAACCACTGTAATGTAAAGCTTAGCTTGACCGGCAGCCATTTGGTAAAGCTGCTTCCCACCCAGCTACTTATTTTCTAAACAACTGCACTCCATCCTCCCAGAGAATGGTAAGTGTCCTTCTGTAAGCTGCCCCTGATCATCCTCTCCGATGTTGTTTTCACTAAGCATACATGGCAACACTGCTCACTACAGACCCACTCCACTATTTTAAACAAACCCATTCAACAGGAACAATGGCGATTCAACACATCACAATAACTAGGTTTCCCAATCCGGTCCTAGGGACCAACAGACGGTCCACGTTTTTGCTCCGTCCCAGCTCCCTGCGAGACAGTCCACATAGCTGGGAGGGAGCAAAAGCATGTACCGTCTGGGAGTCCCCGAAGATCAGTTTCAGAAACACTTAACTAGGAAAAGTGGGTGGGACTGGGCATAGACAAGCCATAGGTTACAGCACCAGGGAGAATATAACAGCCTTCATTTCTCACCCACATATTTCTTCTCAAACTCTCCCGTTAAATGTCTTTTCACAAAGGTGGTCTTCCCTGTGCCTCCATCACCAACCAGCACCAGCTAGGAGAGAGGCGAAGGTCACACACATAAGTCTTCTTAATCACACACACGTCCCCGTTCTTAAAACTACTGATGAGGCATTAATCCTTCAAAATTACAGAACAAGCTTGATCCCACTTGCACTGCAATTAAAGCTAGTAAAACCAAACAGAGAAAATTGATGTTATGCAAAGAGTGGATGAAACTCAAACACTGACCATAATTTTAGGTGAGAGGAGTTCATTTAGAAGGGAGTGATTGGCCTTCTATTTCATAATTTAAATATGAAATTTGTACTGGGGCATAATTACTACTGCAATACCTAACCCAAACAGGCCAGACATATTCCAGCAGGTAAAGATACCATCGTCATGAAGATCACGGGTCCACTCTGGCCCGCAAGAAACAGCTGTGACATTGGCTGAAACGCACCTTAAACTGGACCTGAGGTTCTCCTTCCGCCATATCTGACCTGTGGGTCTGGATCTGAGGATGTGCTGCTGATCGGAGGCAGAAGGACGGATAGGGAAGGAAGGATGGAGAGAGGGAGGGAGTTAATCATGAAGTGCATGGACGGGAGGCTCGCAGCGCACGATCGCCACAGACCGTGAGTGAGAGGGATGGGGAGGGCGGCATGGGCACGCCGGGGCCGGCCCCGGACCCTGCGGCCAGCTGCTTATTCTAGTAACTTCCACCTACACGTGCAGTGAATTTAGCCGCTCATAGCCCGCGTAGCCAGAACACGGCACAGGGGTTCCAACCAAACGACGCCCGGCGCGGTTTAACGGTAAAGCCCGGGAGACGGGACGATTCATCCGGGAAGCGCTTCGTGTTTATAGGCGCGGAAGCGCTCCGCTCGCCGCCGCCGCAGTAACGCACCTTGCAGGCAGCGCTCCCCGGACGGCTCCTTGCAGGGTTAGGTGGGCAAGGAGCGGCGCCCCGGGCTGCAGGGAGGAAGCCATGCGGACATGTTCGGGAGTACGCAGCCAGGGTCGGCTCTAGTGCGCAGGGCAGCTCGCTAACTCGGAACAAGCGCGAAACTTTTCACGGTCGTATATACGGATCTCAACGCGATTCGCTTTCCCGGTAGCAGAAGGCTGTAAAAGCTGTAAACGGCACATATTGCTAATTAACTCCAGTGCTTCAAGTAAAATGTGTAAATAAGAGCGCTGCAGACATACCCGGTGCTGAGACGAATGGGGAAAAGAGTAAATGGCGCCGCCCAAAGCAGCTTCACGGCGGCTTTGTGACGCAGCCCGCCCTCGTCACATGATCGGTGGCCTGGCGCGCCGCGCGCCCCGCTCATAACTTACGCGGACGGGCCCATTCTGTTTCATGCTTTTAACTATGGTGTAGTCTGGGAAACGCACCACTGTTTACATGCGTTTTTACTCAGTCATTTATTAGGCTAATGACGGAGGGTTGTGCAAATCATACAGACTCGTACGCAGTTTGCCAAGTTGGGAAACTTGGGGAAAAAAATAAAATGTTTGATCGAATGAAATTAGCTGTCTACATTTGTGGTTTGTGGCCTCAACGCCGCTGAACTGGAACTACGTGTCTGGCGGCCTTAAATGGCGCTGATTCGTCTCGAGAACTAGTTCATACAGTAGAACTGGACTTTAGGATACACTGAGACAGATAACTGACAAAGTAGTGATATATACAGACAACGCTGAGGTGTTATGGAGTCTGAAATTGCTTTGTTTCACATCGGTCTGCTTTTGTTGTACTGATTTTAGCTATATTTTTATACACAGATGTACAGTTATCAAATCCCATCATATAGTCTATATTTTAAAAAGAATATTTGTCATTTGTTAAAACTTTAAAATGTATGAGAAGCAAAAATAGTGTTAAACTCATTGAGTGTATTGAAAAGTACAACTTTTAGCTTTAA